CAGGAGGTTGGACTAGAAGACCTCCCAGGTCCCTTCCAACTTCTGTTATTCTGTTAAAGTGGATTCTCCATGCCCTATTTATATCTAACACATTTAATTCTTCAGCATTAGAAAGTTAAATATAGAATCCAGAGAACTTAATATCTGCAAAAGTGGTTAGCAACTTATGAATCATCCGCATTGATATGTAGATTATCGAGGGGGGATTATAATGAAATATGGCTACCGTTCACTGAAATGTTTAGAACTTCTGTATAAGTATCTCTGAATAGACGGGGATGGTTTTCGTTTCGCTTGTTTTTCTCCTTTGTAATTTTCTTCCTGATTTATTTTTCTTCCTGTTGATTTCATTTTTAAATTCAATTAAGGACAGTATAATTTTTTTAAAAAAAAAAAAGACAACACACCAGTCACATCTCCTAGAACAGCATGGACCGATGATGTTCACAAATGGTGCATTTTGTTCTAAAGGCTGGAAGTTCTGGATTGAAACTGCCTGAGCTTTGCTTCAGGCAGCGAACATTTCCGAGTGCTCCAGTTGCTGTCACACCATATGTATGGTTAAGGGTGACATGATAACAGCGTTCCAATATTTGAAAAAGGCCATAAAGAAGAGGGAGGTCAAACTATTCTCCAAAGCACCTGAAGGCAGGACAAGAAGTGATGGATGGAAACTAGGCAAGGAGAGAAGCAACCTAGAACCTATGTTGTGACCCCGGCTCCGGAGGCTGATTTATCTTCGCATGCTGATTCGGAGGATGATATGGAGGAGGAGGAAGCTGTCACGAGCTATGTGCCAGAGGGGCCGTCTTCACTGGTGAGTCAGCAAGAACTGACAGTTGCTGACGTGCCTATGGACCCCAGCCAAATTGAGGAGGTAACAGAGGCCGGTAACGACGAGGGGGAGCCCCTTTTGGATGCAAGAGAGAGACGTAGGAGACGTCGTAGAGAACAGCTATTGCCACATCCCAAGAGATGTGGTCAGGAGACGTAGGGCCACACCCTACAAAGTATAAAAGGGGTGTGACTGGGCTGAAAAGGCGTGGGGAACAATTTGTTGGCGTGTTGGATGCAGTGGATTTACAACTGTTAGTTTGGAGTTTTTTGACAAGAGTCTGCATTCCTGCATTAGCCTGCTGGCTGTCTGCCAAGACCCTTGGAACATTGCCTGGTAATTATTGGACTGATATACGCTTTGGAAGAGAACTATTTATTAAAGGGCCAGCTTCAGTCTTTCTAGCCTGCATTTGTTACTGCCGGGCTATTTGAACCACTGCAAGGCCACTCGTGGGAGGGGACAGAACAACTAAGGAGAAATTTCTGAAGTTGTGGATGCTCCATCACTGGAAGTTCTTAAGAAGAGACTGGACAGCCTCTTGTCTGGAATGGTGCAGGTTCTCCTGCTTGAGCAGGGGGTTGGACTAGAAGACCTCCAAGGTCCCTTCCAACTCGGTTATTCGGTTATTTGGACATTCCGTTTAAACTAGGAACAAAAAGGATATTACAAGGCAGATGAGGAATGAAGGAGATGGCAGAGTGTGACTGGGACACAAAAGCCAGAATTGTCTCGCCAAGGATGCTTAAATAACACATTTGAGAAATGGTTTCACCCGATAGGATTAGCCCATCCCACTTGTGCTGGCAGAAGGGACATGTTGTGGACCCTGTCAGCCAGGGAATTTCGGCTGGAGGGATCCAGAGGAGGCTTTTCTGCTGTGGCTCCCACCCTCTGGAAAATCTTGCACCCCACCCCCCAAAGGTCAGATCCGCTTCCACTCTTTTGCCTCCCCGAATGGCCTTTGAGACATGCAGGGGTGGGGCTGCTGGGGTTTCGCAGGGGTTCGGGAGAACCTCTAGCTAAGATTCTGTGCAGTTCGGAGAACCCCCAAATCCCTGGCTGGTCCCACCCACCCTGACCCTCCCCTCCCAGGAGTCCCTCCGTGGCCTGTTTTGGATACAAGTATGTGCAGGGTGTGTGTGGAGGCTCACGGAGGGTGAAAAATGGGCGTACCAGAAGTTCGGGAAGAAATGGGCCCGTTTCCGGCTTCCAGAGGGCCTCCGGAGCCTGGGGAGGCCGTTTTCGCCATCCTGGAGGCTCAAGAAAAGCCCCCGGAGCCTGGGGAGGGCAAAAACGCCCCCCTCCCGCCCCAGTGCAGGAGGCCAACTAGGCCACACCCACCATGGCCATACCCACTCAGCAACTGGGCAGGGAACCCTTTGCTAAAATTTTTGAAGCCCACCCCTGGAAACATGGCTATGCCATCTAACCTGTGGCTCCAATGGGGCTGTACCACATTGGAGGTGGCTGACGGAACATCTCCACCCTATGTGCACTCCCCCCACCCCACCCCCACTCAGCAGCTGCATGCAATTTTTAATTTAATTCAAAATATTAAAATGAACCCCCCCACACTTCCCTCCCGCTTTTGGCATGTGATGGCACGGTGGGCCTGGTAGGCCCGTTTTTCACCCTCCCCAGGCTCCAGAGGATTTCTAGGAGCCTGGGGAGGGCAAAAACGGCCTTCGCCACCATGCTGGAGGCTCTCTGGAGGCTGGAAACGTACCGTTTCCCATCTTCCGGTAGGACACCTGTTGTTTTTCGCCCTTCCCAGGCTCCTAGAAAGCCTCTGGAGCCTGGGGAGGGCAAAAAATGGGTCTTCCGTTCCCACCGGAAGTCAGAAAACAGCCCATTTCCAGCCTCTGGAGGGCCTCCAGGGGGTGGGGAAGGCCCTTTTCGCCCTCCCCAGGCTCCTAGAAATCCTGGGGAGGGCGAAAACGGCTTTCCCCACCACCCCAGAGGCCTTCCGGAGGCCGGAAACAGCCTGTTTCCCAACTTCTGGTGGGCCCGGAAGGCCCGAAAATCAGCTGGTCGGCGCATGCATGCACTCTGGAGCTGAGCTAGGGCAACGCTCGCGTGCCCACAGATATGGCTCCGCGTGTCACCTGTGGCACGCGTGTCATACCTTCGCCATCACGGCCCTATACTATTTCAGACAAATGGTTGTCCAATCTCTTCTTAAAAACCCCCAGTGATGGAGCACCCACAACTTCTGGAGGCAAGCAGTTCCACTGATTCATTGTTCTAAAAACCGTCTGGAAATTTCTCATGAATTCTAGTTTGCTTCTCTCCTTGATTTATTCCCATCCATTATTTTTTGTCTGACTTTCTGGTGCTTTGGAATTTAGGTTGACCCCCTTCTCCTTTGTGACACACATATCAATATTGGAACACTGTTTTCATGTCACCCCTGGTCCTTCTTTGCCCTGGACTAGACAAACCCAATTTCTGCAACCCAATTCTTCATCCGTTTTAGCCTCCAGCCCCCTTCATTGAATAAAATTGACATTCTATTCGTTGTCTGTAAGCTTTGTAGGGTCGTCCTTTAGCTAGATGGGCGGCATACAAGAGGGATCAAATGAATAAAATATCATAACCTTGTTGAATGAGGGCTGTGAGCCAATTCAAATTCAAATTCGATTCAATTCAATCGAAACCTTTATTGTCGGAGTACAACATGTGTACAATGAGATCGGCTGAGCCTCCCTTCCTGCACACACCCCCCCCAACACAATACAACTCACAGTGAAAGAAAGAAAATCCCTAGCCCAGTGAATCCTGCTAAACGAACAAACACCCACACTGATTTCACGTCGCGCTGGCCCCGCAAGTCAATCGTACTATGTTGTTGTAGGCAGGGGTGGGCTTCAAAAATTTTAGCAACGGGTTCTCTGCCTGGTTGTTGGGTGGGTGTGGCCATGCTAGGCATGGCCTAGTCAGCCTCTGGCACCATGATTGGGGGGGGGGGACATTTTTGCCCTCCCCTGGCTCCGGAGGCTTTTCTTGAGCCTCCGGAAGGGCGAAAATGGCCTCCCCAGGCTCTGGAGGCCTGAAACAGGCCCATTTTCAGCTTCCTGAACTTCCGGTAGGCCTGTTTTTCACCCTCCCCGAGCCTCCGTGCGCACCCTGCACTTACCTGCATCCAAAACAGGCCGTGTGGGGACTCTGGGAGGGGCGGCAGTGGTGGGTTCCCCCCGGTTTGGTCCGGTTCGGCCGAGCCGGTAGCGGTGACAATATGACATCACCGAACCAGTTCTCCCCCCCACCCTCCCACGTTATTCTTACCTTTTATTTGGTTCCACCCCCAATCTCTTGCTGCCTCCTGAGTCCCAGCTGATGACTAGAGGGAAAAAAACTGTTTAAACTCTTGCCGCGGGGCTTCAAAGGGCCGCCCTACAGCTGATCAGTGTTAAAAGCAAACAAATGAGTCAGGTCGTAAGTGCGAGGACTGGTGGTAAGTGCGACGACCTTCCAGAAATGGCTCTGATCAGCTAGCCACGCCCACCTAGTCACATGACCTCCAAGCCACACCCACAAAATAAGCCACACCCACAGAACCGGTAGTAAAAAAAATTAGAACCCACCCTTGAGGGGCGGGGCAGGGTGGGTAGGTCCAGCCAGGAGTGGGATTTAAGACTTCTCTGAACTGCACAGAATTGTAGCTAGAGGTTCTCCCGAACCCCTACAAACCCCCAGCAGTCCCACCCCTGGTTGTAGGGTTATTTTTCATTCAGGAATGTGCCAGCCCACGGATAAAAACTGTTCTTCAGCCCTGTTTGTGTGGCTGCCTATGCTTCTATACCTCCTTCCCGATGGTAGGAGAATAAAGAAGGGCTGACCAGTGAGTGTGGATTTTCCTCACTCTTCTAAGGCAGCGAGCCCTAGCGATGTCATCTAGTGGTGTCAGGAGACCACTAGAGTGGTGAAACCCATTATTTTTTACTACCGGTTCTGTGGGCGTGGCTCGGTGGGCGTGGTTTGGCTTGGTGGGTGTGACTTGGTGGGCATGGCAGGGGAAGGATATTGTAAAATCTCCATTCCCCTCTGGGGCCAGCCAGAGGTGGTATTTGCCGGTTCTCCGAACTGCTCAAAATGTCTGCTACCGGTTTTCCAGAACCTGCTGGATTTCACCCCTGGACCGCTAGCCAATGATGAGCTCATTTCTGTTTTTCCCAGCTAGGACTCCTCCGAGGGCCTTTTCAAGATGGCTACCTGGAAAGAGAGGCACTACCTCTGTGCGGAGAAATACATACCATGTCCGGGGTTTTCTCCCCGACCTTATCACAAACTAGCTACTCAGAAGCCTCCGTACACAGATTCCAAGATCAAAGTTCTCCAGAAAATGCGTTGCCCGCTTGAGGAAGCTGTCCTTTGGCACATCTGGGGCTACCACACCTGGTTGGATGTAGGGAGGTTGCCCCCCGTCTATGGGCCCAGACCGGACGTGCCTTTCGATAGCAACACGTGGCGATGGATCACTGCTCCCAGTAAGCCCTCTATGGCTGAGCCACCGGTCCCACCTCCTTCCCTCTTGGATGGGAACACCTACGCCAAGTTCATTGAAGGGGAAGGTCTCTTTGTGGACCTCAGGCAGAAGAAACGAGTCCTGAGCCTAACGCAGAAAGAAGTGAACAAGTGTGAGTACTTGAAGTTCAGAAGTGAGTGTCGGGCTCCACCTTTGGATGCTCAAGGGAACATTATGCCTCCCAAAATGCTCAGCAGGTAAGATACATGGCTTTCCTAAATATTTTCCTTCCACCAGATACGAAAAGTACCACAGTTGAGTACAGTGGTGAAATTCAATTTTTTTTTACTACCGCTTCTGTGGGTGTGGCTTCGTGGGTGTGGCTTGGTGGGTGTGGCAGGGGAAGGATACTGAAAAATCCCCATTCCCTCCACACTCCAGGGGAAGGATACTGCAAAGTCTCCATTCCCACCCCACTCCTGGGGGAAGGAGTTCCAGGTCACGGTTATCCTGACGGTGCTTTTTTTTCCCCCCCAAAAGGTAACTGTACTTTTTTAGTGTGTGCGAAGACGTTTCGCTTCTCATCCAAGAAACCTCCAAGAACTGAAGTCAGAACTGAAGAAGCTTCTTGGAGGAGAAGCGAAACGTCTTCAAGGAGAAACAAAGTCCAGTTTCCTTTTGAAAAGATGTCTAAATTTGGCGCTCTCTCTTGGTCACCCGGAACGCAGCCCTTCCCTCCTGGGAATCCAGACTACATTCCACTACATTAGCTGTTTCGCAAGCTCTCTTCGGTGCTGGAGATTTGGCACGATCTGAGGAGGCTTCCAGGTAGTTGGGTTATGGAGGGTCAACACTGGCAACCTCCAGAGCTGGATTTCAATCCCTTCCTGTTTTGTTCCTCCTCCATTTTCTCTTCTTCTGACTTTTCTTCTTCCCTCTCGGTTCTGCTGCCTATGAAAAGGGACTTTTTTTTAAAATTTGATTTATATGCCGCCCTTCTCCGGAGACTCAGGGCGGCTTACAGTGCGTTAAGCAATAGCCTTCATCCTTTTTGTATATTTATACAAAGTCAGCTTATTGCCCCCACAAACTGGGTCCTCAATTTACCTACCTTAGAAAGGATGGAAGGCTGAGTCGACCTTGAGCCTGGTGAGATTCGAATTTACAGTAATTGCAGGCAGCTGGTGTTAATCACAATGCTATCAGTCTGCTTAGCCACCAGGCCCTTCTGGTGCCTTGCGCTATTGTGGTCAACAATTGTGTACCTTCTGTTCAAGCAGTTGGGTAGTGGTGGTACTCATGAGAGTTTCTCAGTTTCCCAGTGTCCTAGTGGATCTCTGAAAATAGAGTCCTCTCAGTGTGTATTTGCAATGGGGCCAATATCTCCCTTTGGCAGAGAATTTAGGCTTATTTCTTCAGCCTCATCGCAAGAAGAACCATCATCTTGGACGGTTGCAGGGGGGGTATTTACTTACTTTCCCTACCGGTTTGCAAATGTGAGTGTGCACCTGCACTTTGCTTGTGTGCGCCCGGGCTCAAAAACATGCCTAAATAGGATGGCATAGAACTGGGGCGAACCGGCTGAATACCAGCCCAAATCTGTCTGAACCGGCTGAATACCATCTCTGGATGGTTGATTCATTCTTTTTTTTTTTATTTTAAATTTAAACAAACATTTCATCATTAATCAATCAGTGTAACATCTGGTTGCAAAAAAGTTTTGTATCGTCATATTTGCCTCATTTCACAACCTTTCTGGGCCCAGTCGTTGAATGAATCCCTGCAGGTGATAAGTGACTAACACGGTTGTTAAGTCAATTTTGGATTCCCCATTGACGTTGCTCGTCAGAAGGTCGTGCAAAGGGGATCACATGACCCCAGGACACTGAAATGGTCAGAAGTATAAACCAGTTGTCAAGTGTCTTGAATTTTCATCCCGTGGTCTTGGGGGGATGATGTAATGGTTGTAAGTGTGGAAAAAGTCAAAAGCCACTTTTCTCAGTACTGTCGTAACTTTGACCCATCACTAAACAAATGGTTGTAAGTTGAGGATTACCTGTACCTTTAAGTAGTCTGTAGAATACGGTGCATGATAAGAATAGCGCTTAGACTTATATACAGCTTCACAGTGCTTTACAGGCCTCTCTAAGCAGTTTACAGAATTACCATATTGCCCCCAACAATCTGGGTCCTCATTTTACTGACCTCAGAAGAATAGAAGCCTGAGCCAACCTTGAGCTAGTGAGACTCGAACTGCTGGCAGTCGGCAGAATTAGCCTGCAATACTGCATTCTAACCACTGTGCCACCATTGCAGAGATAGCAATAGCACTTAGACTTATGTACCGCTTCACCGTGCTTTAGAGCCCTCTCTAAGCGGTTTATAGAGTCAACATCTTGCCCCCAAACAATCTGGGTCCTCATTTTACTGAGCTCCGAAGGATGGAAGGCTGAGTCAACCTTGAGCCGGTCAGGATCGAATTGCCAAACAGCTGGCAGCCGGCCATCTGCAGAAGTAGCCTACAATACTGCATTCTGACTATTGCACCACACATCTTAATATTATTATTATTATTATTATTATTATTATTATTATTCATATTTCTATGCCACCCACTCTCCGAGGACTCTGGGCGGCTTACACCAAAGACAGTATACTAAATAGCATATTGCCCCCAACAATCTGGGTCCTCATTTTACCCACCTCGGAAGGATGGAAGGCTGAGTCAACCTTGAGCTGGTGAGATTTGATCTGCTGATCTGCTGAACTAGCAGTCAGCTGAAGTAGTTGCAGTACTGCACTCTAACCACTCCGCCACCTTGGCTTAATATACTTGTAATAGACGTGTGAAGATAGCAATAGCACTTAGACTTACATACCCCTTCATAGTGCTTTTACAGCCCTCTCTAAGTGGTTTACAGAGTCAGCCTATTGTCCCCAACAATCTGGGTCCTCATTTTACCGACCTCGGAAGGATGGAAGGCTGAGTCAACCTTGAGCTTGGTGAGAATCGAGCTGCTGGCAGCCGGCAGTCAGCAGAAATAGCCTGCAGTACTGCATTCTAACCACTGCGCCACCGCGGCTCTTACAATGCTGCCTTCCTTAATGCAATCCCTATAAACAACGGTAACAGTTATTGTTATTGTTCTCCTTATCTTTTGGACAGGTACAGACGTCTGCTTCCAGGAAAACCCCCGGCTTCCGTCCGTGTGGCGCTACAACCTGTGGTATCTTCTTCTCCAGAATGTTGGCATTATCCCTGTCCGAGCTTTCAACCCCATTACCAAGACTCAGCTGTTAAGTTTGTGCTGAAGAACTGTGGCCCCATTTACCAGGATGTGGTGGAAAAATACCAGGAACTGGTCCTTTCTGGGAGCCAAATACGGACTTCCACTCCAGCCAGCCAAATAAACAGACAAGACTAAATTCTACCCTCTAAAAACTCCAGATTTGGGAGGTCCAAAAATACTTGGCCGAGCAATCCAGAATAGCTACCGGCATTCCACCGATGTGGTCATTCTGGGTGCGTACATTAATTTTACAGCCATTCCTTCTTCCCGAGAAGATGCTATGGGAAGATGTACATACCAGTGGCGTCCTCATTCATGATGGACACAGGTCAAAGGTTTGTGGGAATGGAAAGGAAGCAGCGTTCATACCCTGCTAATTGGTAAGAGATGATTTATTAAGGGCTCCTCATTGATCAAATATTTGCTTTATTTAGCAAAAACATGTTGGTTAGGAAGCAGGAACCGTCACTGGCGCAATGCTGCTTTTCTGAACTTTTCTACCGAGCTTCAATGTTGGAGACAACTTACAACTTATGGACCGTATTCTCCATATGTTGTAAGGGGACTACTCAAAACTCAGAGATCCAGTAGCTGTAGGGAGTTAGTTGTAGCCTCTTTCTTCAACATAATGAGGAATGAGAAAGATGTTCTTTAGCCTTCGAGCGATGTTCTTAAATAATGGTGCTACTTCCTCACCCTTGACCCGTCCCTCTTCTGTCCATCTAACTCAGTTATGTAGCAGCAGAAATATAACAAGTCCCTTTTTGCTGTACTGTGCACGCTGGACCAGAAATATTGGCATTTAAAAGCCTATTTTGTTTCAAAGTTAAAATGCTCACGTCTAAAGGACACTAAGGAGGTTAGATCACAAAGTTTTGCATACGTTTTGCTGCTAAATATGTTTTTAATAAATTAATTTAAAAGGCCGTCTGCATTGGTTTCGAGCAAAGTTTCTGCTGGATATGGCTTTGGTTATCGGAATAACCAATTACAGATAGTTCTCAACTTAACAACAGTTCATTTAGTGACCATTCTAAGTTACAAAGGCACTGAAAAAGGTGGGTGAAAAGCAGTTTACAAAGTCAGCCTATAGCTCCCAAAAACCTGGATCCTCATTTTACCAACCTCCAAAAGATGGAAGGTTGAGTCAACCTTGAGCCGGTCAGGATCGAACTGCCGAACTGCTGGCAGCTGGCAGTCAGCAGAAGTAGCCTGCAGTACTGCCTTCTCACCACTACGCTACCACGGCTCATATGTCATACGTCCAATTCTGCCAGACACTGCATATCATCTCTGGTAGACTGCATCCAACTACAGTGTACTGGTTACCAGTATTTAGCAATATCATACAGCCAACATTAGAAGACAACAAGTTCCCGTTCGCCAATGGTCAAGAATGCTGAACAACAAGACCCGGGGTGAAATGCTCCCAGTTAGGACCGGATTGCCCGATCCGGTAGCGATGGCGGCGGGTGGTTCGGAGAACCAGTAGCAAACATCCCTGCCCCCCCCCATGCCAGCTGAGCCGTGGGATCATCAGAGGCTTTTTTTTAAAAAAAAAAAAACATTTTTTCTTCGGCCGAAAAAATGCTTTTAAAAGTTTTTTAAAAAAGCCTCTGATGATCCCACGGCTCAGCTGGGATCGTCAGAAGCTTTTAAAAGCATTTTTTCTACAACCTCTTTAGCCGAAGAAGTTGTAGAAAAAATGCTTTTAAAAGCCTCTGACGATCCCAGCTGAGTTGCCTGATTGGCAGAGGCTTTTAAAAGACAAAAAAAAAAAAGTCTCTGCTGATCAGGCAACTCAGCCGGGATCATCAGAGGCTTTTAAAAGAAAAAAAAAGCCTGTGAAATCCCAAGGCCAGCTTGGAAAACAGCCATTCACTTAAGATCTTTCCAGTTTAACCCTGAGAACGCCTAGAGAGAGGAATGACCTTCTTGTGGCTTGACCATTAATGATTCCTCTGTCAAACCCACCTGGTTTTGTCCTGCTTCGCTCTGTCTGGTCAAAATTGAACAGAATTAAGTGTGAAAGTGGAAGAAGGGCCTCCGTTATCAGCAGGGATGGAAAGATTCCCCTTGTTGCGATTGTGACACGGATATGCAAACGATTGCAAATATTGTGCAAGATTGCCCCATGATCAGAGGTGGTATTCAGCCGGTTCGGGTGAACCGGTAGCGCCGATGATCCGTTGGGCCCACCTCTCCTCTATCTTGTCCTTTATTTCCTGCTTTGTAGCTCATCTCAATCGCGTGGCACAGCTGATCCCCCCCTCCCTTGCTGTTCTACTTACCGTTGCTGATTTGGAAGGTAAGTAGCTGAGCTTCTAAATGCTCCATTTTCAGTGCAAGCGCACGTGCCTTAGGCACACATGCAGAGCGCGCATTCACTCAATTCTGGAGCTGACCGGAAGTCCGGTTTCCCCACCATAGCGCAGTGTCCTTTTTCCTCTACCTGTCCTAACTGAAAGCGCTATCAATTGCGAAGCCGACCGGAAAACCCACCCCTTGCCATAATCTCCTCCGGGTGCGCCGTGCTTCCCCACCAACTGGAAGGTCCTCTCAAAATTGTGGTGCGATCATCCAACAGGGAGCCGCAACAGAGGGATGAAAGAGCCACATACGGCTCCAGAGCTGCAGGTTGCTGACTCCTGCTCTAAAGTTTAATACCAATAACCCTGTATTGCTTTTCCTAGGTAGATCCAAAGTTTGCTATGATAGTACTCTTTTTTTGAATTATGATTATAGTCTTTGAATAACAATTTACTTCCGATTTAGACTAGGGTCAGCTGCTCTGTTGCTCCAAGCAGGAGGTGGGTGGAAAGCCAGAATAATGAGAGATGATTTAATTAGCTCATGGTCTGTTTGCTAAGACTGGAAAAATCAGAAGTGTGGGTCTCATTTCCACTTAAGTGTGAAACACAAGGAGGCTTTTTGAGGAGTCTGAAGCCCACAGAGAAATTCTTTGCAGGAGCATTTTCTTGATTCAATCTGCAGGAAGCCGATCGCACATAATCAATGTCAGCACTTCAAGCTACATTTACTCTAGTGCTGACATAAGAAGGAGAAGCGAAGGCGTCTGGAAAGCCTTGGTAGTACAGTGGTCTAAGGCACCCTGTTATTAAGCTGGTTATTAAGACCAGCTGCCTGCAATTACTGCAGGTTCGAGGTTGACTCAGCCTTCCATCCTTTCTAAGGTAGGTAAATTGAGGACCCGGTTGTGGGGGCAATAAGCTGACTTTGTATAAATATACAAAAGGATGAAGGCTATTGCTGAGCACATTGTAAGCCGCCCTGAGTCTCCAGAGAAGGGCGGCATATAAATCAAATTAAAAAAAAAAAAAAAGGGACGTTTGACTTTTCACCTACTGATTTTCCCTGGAGATAATATCCCCTAGGAGATGGGATGGGAGGGGGGAAATTCCTTTGAGCTGGAGCAGTAGATTAGGGGTAGAATGACTTGGAAGATGGCCAATGAGTGCAGGAGAGTGGGGAACGGAAAGGGAGGGTTTTGGGGCTGGAAGTCAGTGTTGGCTTCGATGGAGTCGGGTGTAGAATGTTCGTGCTTAATCAATAGGAGGTTTTTCTTCAAAGACTTTGTTTGAAATGCAATTTATTTGTGACGACCTCGAAACTTGACAATCAGCTTGAATCCGGCAGGAATGGGATAACCTCAGAAACCGAATCCTGTGCCAGTTGCAGGGGTTCGGGAGAACCTCTAGCTAAGATTCTGTGCAATTTGAAGAACCCCCAAATCCCATTCCTGGCTGGCCACTCCCACCCCACCCCTCCCCTCCCAGGAATCCCCACGGGGCCCATTTTGAATGCAGGTAACTGCAGGGCATGTGCGGAGGCTCGGGGAGGGTGAAAAACGGGCCTACTGGAAGTTTGGGAAGGCCTCCAGAGGGCTCCGGAGCCTGGGGAAGCCATTTTCACCCTCCTGGAGGCTTGAGTCAAGCCTCCGGAGCCCAGGGAGGGCAACCCTCCCCCCGCCATGGTGCAAGAGGCCGACTAGGCCACACCCACCATGGCCATGCCCACCCAGCGACCAGGCAGGGAACCCCTTGCTAAATTTTTTGAAGCCTACTCCTGACTTATCTAAAGCCTGAGGGGTCATTTACAGGAGCGAGCAGAATTGCAAACCTTGGTTTTAAGAAGAAGCAACACAAGCACAACAGAACCTCTGCAGGAGGTCGAGATAAATCCAGGCCCTAAGGAAGGAAAGGAAGGCTACGGGATCCAGCGGCAGTCCCTGATGGAAAATTTCCTTTATGGAGACCAGTTAGCGGCCAAAGTTACAAAAGGAACGCTAAGCGGGAAATGCAGTTTTCCTGGTCTCTCAAAACACAGGTTAATTTGGCTTCTGAGATCTTTGCAGGGAGAGGAAACATGGAACTCTTTCCAGAGTTAGGAATAAAACAATTTCTCCATCCAAGAATGGAGAGAAATTTCCTAACAGTGAGAACAATGAACCGGTGGAATAGCACCGGTTCATAGCAGGGGGCTGGACTAGAAGACCTCCAAAGTCCCTTCCAACTATTCTATTCTATTCTATTCTGTTCTGTTCTGTTCTATTCTGTTCTGTTCTGTTCTGTTCTCTTCTCTTCTCTTCTCTTCTCTTCTCTTCTCTTCTCTTCTCTTCCCTTCCCTTCCCTTCCCTTCCCTTCCCTTCCCTTCCATATTTTCTATTCCATTCCATTCCATTCCATAAGTTGTTCTATTTATTCTGTTCTGTTCTGTTCTATTCTTCTGTTCTCTCCTCTCCTCTCCTCTCCTCTCCTCTCCTCTCCTCCCCTTCCCTATTTTCCATTCCATTCCATTCCATTCCATTCCATTCCATTCCATTCCATATGTTCTGTTCTGTTTGCTCTGTTCTGTTCCTCGGATGCCCCTGTGATGTAGGTGGCACCCAAAATGCCCCTTAACCTTGTAGCATTTTGAAAACGATTCCATGTGTGTTTTTTAAGTCTCTCTTTCCCTCTCTTTGTGCAGCAGCTTTTTGCAAAGACAACATTTGGGTTGCCAAAAAAGGCTTCTCTCTCTCTCTCTCTCTTTCTCTCTCTCTCTCTCTCTCTTTCTCTCTCTCTCTTTTATTGGGAGGTGCTGGTCCAAAGGCTTAAAAGCTTGTCATTCCAACCTCCAATTTTTTTTTTTTTTAACTTGGCAGTTTATTAAGTTGTCTAAAAGCCCAGGGGTTTAAATGGCTGACTTCAACAAAAAAACGAAGAACAGGCTATATCCAAGCCTAGATTCCCCTCCTTCTTCACAGAAGGAAACTGAAATAGACGGAAGTCTAAAGGGAAAGTTTCCCCTCGCACATACGTGCTAGTCGTTCCCGACTCTAGGGGGTGGTGCTCATCTCCGTTTCAAAGCCGAAGAGCCAGCGCTGTCCGAAGACGTCTCCGTGGTCATGTGGCCGGCATGACTCAACGCCAAAGGCGCACGGAACGCTGTTACCTTCCCACCATAGGTGGTCCCTATTTTTTTTCTACTTGCATTTTTTACCTGCTTTCGAACTGCTAGGTTGGCAGAAGCTGGGACAAGTCACGGGAGCTCACCCCATGACGCAGCACTCGGGATTCGAACCGCTGAACTGCCGACCTTTCAATCGACAAGCTCAGCATCTCAGCCACTGAGCCACCGCATCTACCATGATGTTATTTCGTGAGCCAAAAACGAAGCAAAGAATCCGAGTTTAGGCTACCGTCAACTGCATAAAAACTCGCTGGGCCAGGCTTGAGTTGCTGGCAGCCAAGGGACAGGCAAGAAAGTTGTTTAAGTGAGTTGTGCCCCCTTTTATGACGCTTTTTGCCAGAATAAAGCAAACAACAAACAAACTGCGGTAGTTAAGGGAACCATGCAGTCGTGTAAATGAATTTGGCTTCCCTGCATTGGCTTTGCTTGTCTGAACCCAGCCGGGAAGGTCCCA